GCGACTACGTCTCCATGCAACGAGGTAGTATGTGCAACGAATAATTTCAAAGTGTGTGTACATGTTGTTGATTTCATATAATAACGGTTGTAATTTGTGATGTTGTGCACGTTTGTAGTTGTTTGTTGAGAGCAAGCAGAGGAAGGACGTTGCCTATAACAAGTTTGCAGAATGTATTGATGTCGATATTGTGCGGATGTCCCGATATCAGTTGGACCAAATGTCACTGGTGAATTAATATTATTAATATTATTATTATTATTATTATTAATATTCCTGTTGAGTTTGCCAATTGATATTATACTATTTGTCCTCCAGATTTATTTTATAAGGTGAAATGTCGTGTATTATAATTGTTAATTTATTTTCCAATTTAGTTTTTGTTCCATGTGCACTCGAGTGCATTTTCTGGCGTGTTGTGCATTGCACCGGCTGCACGGAAGCTCAAAGTGGTAGTTCTGGACAGTGCTTTTTTTTTTGTAAAAAGGTTGCTGTTAAGAGAAAGGTTACGGCACACGTCGAGCTGCTTGTAAGTAGAACTATTCGTATATGCTCTTTCGTGTTACGTTATGAATGTATATTGTTGATGATTCGTGATGTTTATGCAGAAGCGATCGTTCTCAAAATACCTAGACGAGAGGAAAATGGGGAGGTTCTCGAAGGTAGTTGCTATGGCGAAGCCGGAAATTGTCAATCCATCATGGACAGAGGGTGTCGATATGGTAGATAGCGGGGTAGTCACCATGCGTCACATGGAGACATTCAAGGGGGCTGCTTTGAAAGGCTGGAAACCTGAAATAAAGAAGGCGGATAAGGTGCAGATGAAGATGATGAGGAAGCGTTATTGCTACGTTGTAGCATGCGCTCCCAACAACACCCTGAAGGAGGACAATGTAGTTGCGGCCAAGGAATTTCACCCTCTGTACTTGAAGAAGAAACAGGAGCGCGATGTTGCTCATTGAGTGAGTGGTCTGTATGAGAATTGGTGGGATCTATAAGGACATGGTATTGTCGCCTACGACTAAGTATGTTGGGTTTCCTTTTTGTTTTAGGACGTCATATCGTTTTGCGTGTTCAGACTATTGTGGTGTTTGGTGTTTTTCTTATGTCGTGTTTTGAGGTTTAGACCTATTTCTGACCGATGACTGTTTTTGTGTGTTTTGGTGGCATGAACATTGAAATTGATTTGCGGTCGTAAATATATTATGTTGACCGGTATTACATGTTTTGGCATTTGATGTCTTCAGCTCCGTATATAGTTTTGTTTATGTATGTTGTATTTTTTTTTTTTTTTTTTTTTTTGCTTTTTTTTTTCTTTTGTGTGTCTCTTATTGTGCATGTTTTTCTCAATCATTGTGCTGCAATATATATATTAATGTGCAACACCTATGTAATCGTATACAAAAATGTGGGCAGACATGTAAACAGTATCTCAATGTGCAACATTGTTCGAATTAATGTGGTGCGTCACATTCAGTAATGTGCAATCATTTAATGTACTTGATTGTGTTTTTATTTTTTATTTTTTCCTTTTTTTGTTGTTGTTGTTGTTGTTTTGTTCTTAAGGTCCCTTAATGTGCATGTTGTCATAAAATATGATATTGTACTGCAATATACATAAGAACACGCAACATTTATGTGATAATATATGCTTGTGACAGATAGTCATGTAATCATACGGGTTCTTAACGTGCAATGGAGTTTAAATTAACGTGCTATGTCTCAGACAATAACGTGCATTGATCGATATGCATCAGACATATAACAACAGAATAATAATAATAATAATAATAATAATAATAATAATAATAATAGTAATAATAGTAATAATAATAATAACAATAAAAATAATAATAATAAAACCATTATAGAGTTGGATAAACAATTAACATCGTTTGTAGCAACATGATACTATCACGAAAAAAAAAAAAAAAACTAAATAATATGGCATCTAAAATGCATATAGTCTTCAATGTGCGAGCTAAGTGCAACGTTGAATCTTCCAGTATCTCCATCGACTCACACTGGCTCCCATTGTCTGCGTGCGATTAAATATGTAGATTAGTGAAATATGCAAAACATGCTGGTACCTCAACTTAATGATTCATTAACTAAAAAAAATAACAGAATGATGCATGAACAGAGTTATTGGTGGTACGAGAATGTATTACGAATCATACCATCATGGTTTCTTGAGGCACGTCCGGGCATTGTGACCTGCCCTCTCACCGCATGTCTTGCATATACGTCTCTTTTTTATGGATTTTTCGATTGCTTCCTCCTTTCCGCTTTTCATCCTTTTCCCGCTGCCCTTGTTTTTTGATTTGGCCGGAGGGTGTATGTTCACCTCCAGAGGGACAGACGTGCCGACAAATGTTTCAAATCGACGCTCTTTCGTCCCGGCCGACACATCCTCCTGTTCAGTCACCAACTTGTGCTTGTGGTTTACAATAATTCTTGAAAACTCGACAAGGCGGTCCATGGATGGCTCGACCAGTCCCATGCATAGATGTATGTCAGACCACAATTTATTCACCATGAGTTTTCTATCATCAATTTGAGCACATTGTTCAGTTATACCATCAACAATGCAGAACATTGGGTTCAAAATGGCCATTTTCGTCCATCTTGATACAATATGTGCACTCGGTATAACTTCAACGTTCACGTCCTTCAATACAACGAATATGTGTCTGCATGGCCACCCATGCAGTTCAAAATGCTTGCATGAACAAGTGGCTGATTTCAGACTCGCGTTGTATAACACAGTGAACGTCTTGCCATTAGTATCTCTGATTTCGAATTTCATCTGTCCATCGTAATCCGAGAAGTCCATAACGCGACAATGGAAACAGGCTGCTGTAACGCCCCACTTTTATTTGACGAAAGTCAAGGATTTTTCAAAAAGTCAACTT